AAAAAAAAAAAAAAAAAAAAAATCAAGGACAGAGAAGACTGAGGCTCGTATTTACTCACCAGAAGTGGGCTGGCCATCTGTCAACAAAATAATCATGGAGACACTCCGTTCTGGCAGCCTCTCAGCTTTATCGAGCACGCTCACGGCAGTCAGCAAGGCATGATTGATATCTGTGCCTGTCATGAGAAAGCAGGCATCACTCGCCTAAGAAGGGTAATCATCTAAAGAAATCAGTGCACTTCATCTGCAGAGGCCCTGCAGAGTCGTTTAAAGTTTTCTGCAGGAAGTAATCCTTCAGAGAGATGAGGATTTAAGGGTTTAGCCTACTTGGCTTAATTGTGGTGTATTATATTGCAATGGCAACGCTGGAGTATTCTTTTGGGAACATTTTCCACACATATGTCATGGGAAATACAAACACATCTAGAGCCATTAAAAAGTGCTTAAATAAACACACTGTCATCTGTTAAGCTACATTTAAAAAAATATCTCCTGGCCTTATTTGAGACGTCAAAGAAAAGAGCTGGGCACAGGTGGGCTTTATTGATGTTAGTGCCTGGGATAAGAAAGCCTGCGTTAATACTAACAGCATAACAGTAACAGGAGATGTAACCTTTTAGAGGTGCTTAAAACAAAATAATAATAAAAAAAAAACCCTGCACTGAGTGATGCAGCAATTGAAATGCTTTGTGCCTATTTTGATTATATTGTTTCCGCAGTGTGGCTTACAGGGGAGTATAACTTTGGATGCATTTTATTTTACAAGGGTACCCTTGTTATTAAAAAAAAAAAAAAAAAATCAGAAAATTGCTGTCAAATGTTGAGTGAATGGCCATTTTTCTGTAGGAAAAAAAAAAACCTACTATTAGGAAATCTTCCAGCCATCACTGTTATGAAAATCTGAAACAAAACTTTGTGGCTTCTATGGTTCATAGATGTGGCGTAACCATCTCTCTCTATATCCATATCATAACGTAGTCACCAGTCCATCCACTCCCATAACCAGCTTTTCTATCCCACTCGTCATTCATAAATATTAAAACTTTTTAATTTAATTTACTTTGCAAGCACTGATAGTAGTTCTGTAGCAGTATACGACCAATAAATATTTTTTTTCTAAGCAATATATTATACTGTGTGCATGTTTGTGATTACAGGCATCTAGGTGGTGCCTCGTACCTCCACTCGCAGAAAGAGTTTGCACGAATCCTGCAGCACTCGCCACGTTCTCTGCAGTGGCTTGCAGCACAGAGCTCTGCCACTCCACCACTCTGCTGTTAAAGGTGATAAAGTTGAAATGATCTTCCGGGCGGAGGTCTTGCAAAATCTTCAACAGGGCATCCCTCGTCTGTTCCAAGGAGAAAACAATCACTTGGAATATTTCTACTTTGCCAGAACTGGGGTTGGAATTGCAGCGTAATAAGGGGG